AGATCTGTTCAAGAAAATAGGAGATATTAAAGGAATATTTTGTGCAAAGATAGACATGGTAAAGGACAAAAATGGGAGGGACCTCACAGAAGCAGAAGACATCAAGAAGAGGTGGCAAGAATACACAGAGGAATTATACCAGAAAGATTTGAATATCCCAGACAACCCAGATAATGTGGTTGCAGACCTTGAGCCAGACATCTTGGAGAGCGAAGTCAAGTGGGCCTTAGAAAGCTTGTCTAACAACAAGACCAGTGGAGGTGATGGCATTCCAGTGCAACTATTTAAAATCTTAAAAGATGGTGCTGTGAATGTGCTATACCCTATATGCCAGCAAGTTTGGAAAACTCAGCAGTGCCCAGAGGATTGGAAAAGATCAGTCTACAACCCAATCCCAAAGAATGGCAGTGCCAAAGAATGCTCCAACTACCGTACAATTGCATTCATTTCACACACTAGCAAGGTTATACTCAAAATCCTCCAAGGTAGGCTTCAGTAGTATGTAGACCAAGAGCTCCCAGAAGTACAAGCTGGATTTCGAAGGGGCAGAGGAACTAGAGACCAAATTGCTAACATGCACTGGATTATGGAGAAAGCCAGAGAGTTCCAGAAAAATATCTACCTCTGCTTCATTGACTATGGAAAAGCCTTTGACTGTGTGGACCACATCTACTTCTGCTTCAATGAGTACACAAAAGCCATAGCAAATGGAAAGTCTTTAAAGAAATGGGAGTGCCTGACCACCTTATCTATCTCCTGAGAAATCTATATGTGGGACTTGAAGCAACAGTTAGAACTGGATATAGAACAACTGATTGGTTCAAAATTGAGAAAGGAGTACGACAAGGCTGCATATTGTCTCCCTGCTTGTTTAACTTATATGCAGAATACATCATGTGAAAGGCCGGACTGGATGAATCCCAAACTGGAATTAAGATTGCCGGAAGAAATATTAACAACCTCAGATGTGCAGATGATCCCACTCTGATGGCAGAAAGTGAGGAGTAATTAAAGAACCTTGTAATGAGGGTGAAAGAGGAGAGTGCAAAAAATGGTCGGAAGCTCAACATAAAAAAACCCCTAAGATCATGGCCACTGGTCTCATCACCTCCTGGCAAATAGAAGGGGAAGATATAGAGGCTGTGACAGATTTTACTTTCTTGGGCTCCATGATCACTGCAGATGGGGACAGCAGCCACCAAATTAAGGGACACCTGCTTCTTGGGAGAAAAGTGATGACAAACCTAGACAGCATCTTAAAGAAGCAGATACATCACCTTGCTGACAAAGGTCCGCATAGTCAAAGCTATGGGTTTTCCAGTAGCAGTGTATGGAAGTGAGAGCTGGACCATAAAGAAGGCTGACTGCCGAAGAATTGATGCATTTGAACTGTGGTGCTGGAAGAGACTCTTGAGAGTCCCCTGGACTGCAAAGAGAACAAACCTATCCATTTTGAAGGAAATCCTAAAGCTGAAGCTCCAATACTTTGGCTATCTCATGAGAAGACTCCCTGGAAAAGACCCTGATGTTGGGAAAGTGTGAAGGCAAGAGGAGAAGGAGATGACAGAGGATGAGACGGTTGGAAAGTGTCATCGAAGCTACCAACGTGAATCGGACCCAACTCCGGGAGGCAGTGGAAACAGGAGGGCCTGGCGTGCTCCGGTCCATGGGGTCACGAAGAGTTGGACATGACTTGACGACTAAACAACAACATGGTCTCACACATCTCAACCATGTGAAATGGGCAGACATGGACAAAGACCCAAGATGTGGCTGTTTGTATTGTGTCTCCCACCAGGACAAGATACTGTCTGGATCATCTGGAAGTCACTTAATAGACTTTGCGGCAAAGCAGGAAGATTAAATAATTATCAAATAAAATGGGGCTATGGAAATACAGGACAAATTTTCTGTGAATGCAGAGAAATTAAATCAATGTAGCATTATCTATATTTAATATATGTCCATAATTTTAAACTGTGCAATGCTTTGACACGAATAAAGCATTTTGCATTGAGATTGACACTGACAAGGAGTATGACAACTACTGTGATTAACAATCAACAAGGGAAAAGACTGTCCCCAAGGAGCAGAAAACAAATCAGAGATGAGTAAAGATTTTCAGAGAAATGTCAGAGGATACCAGCAATTCAATGAAGAAATGGTCAGTATCCATTCCTAAATTTTAGTTTAATAACGCAACTGTGGGCTAAGTACAGAAACAGGCAAGCATCATGAAGGCTAAACTGCACATGCAAGTGAGCAAAGTTTCTTTTAAAAATACATTAGAAACAGTAAGAAGCCAACTCAAATACAAACATTAGAGGAAGGAAGTCAAAGGCAAGATAATTGAGTAAACACTGTCATGTTACACACTGTCGTGTTTAATTTAAAGTGTATCATTGTGAAGGCGTAATGTCAGCCATCTAGCTGTAGGGAGGGAAGACAAGTTCCAGATGGTTACGGAAACTGCTTCAGTGTGTGGGCTGAAGCAGACCACCACTCTCTCCGAGGTTTACTAGTTGAAAATAAACTGAAGGTGTAAACTTGAATCTGCGAATTCTACCCAGCATTTAGAGGGGTAAAGTATCATGTCTTGGTTTAAAGAAAATCTCCAGGAATTTCCTTAACCAAAACTGGCAGTGCTACATCAGAACTGCTGATGGAGAATCACAGTGAACTAACTTCATGGCCATTTTTTTTCTAGACAGTAATGTAATAAGTCTCCATAGAACCACACAGAAAAAATATTAAAGAGAAAGACAGCGAACAGTTAAGGCATGGTGAGACTACCTGTCCCTGGGGAAAGTGGATACAGTACTTCTCTATTACTGACCCTGTGTTTTTAGTTGTAGAGCCTTTTGATGTGTTTCCCCTTGATTTAAAGCAACTTTACATAATCTAATTATAAATGTGTCCTCAACAAGACATCCCTAATCTTTACATTACAATTATCCCTTCCTGTCCTTGGCTTTGCTTTTTTTTTTAAAAAACCGTGTGCATTGAGGCTTTTCATTTCTTTCATTGAGAATAGTGAGATTTACACCAAATATTCACCATTCTCTTATAGACACATATCTGATTAAGATACAATGTGCATCCATTAAGAAAGAACAGTTGTCGGCACGGGGGAATATTGTTATTAAAAACCTATGCTCCTCACTTCCCAGCCTCCATTAGATCACAGATTAAACAGAAGACATGGACTGCACAGCTAGTGACATCAGAAACAACTTGACATTAGTGCCAATGGTATTTCTACTAAAGTTCCATGGGAAAAACCCTGCATTGTGGCTCTACATAATTTATTAATACAAATGAAGACATATCTCTGATTTTTTTTTAAAGAACGGGGAATCCTTCAATGCTTGAAGAAATTCTGTTGCCATTCCTTTCATACCTACCTGACTCTGTGCAGCTTCCTGGAAATTGTCACCCAAAACTCTGTGCACATGCATGCAGAAGTGTATGATTTGTACTGTACAGTCCTTGGTCTTCAGGACAAAGTAACCATTTCTTATTTCTACAGTTGCTCTATGGCACACTGGTGCAAATAAACTTTTCTTTAAAAAGATAATAGCCCAAAAGAATTTTTGTGTAGCAGACCAGCATCAATCCTTAAAGCACCTTTAATGAACAAGTTTATCACCCTGTCATGTCTCATTTGGCTAACAAACACAGCAATGGGTGTTTCCCAATGAATTTTTTTTTTGAACAATCATTAATCATTCACGGAATTTTTAAAATGGTTTAGACAATATTGCAATCTATAATTAACCTTTATTTTCCCACTACCATGCCCATCTTTTTTCTAAGTACAAAAAACTAGCTGAGGGTGGCTGGAAGATCAGGGATAACTTTTCAATAGTTGGACAGGAAAACACATGATTGAGGCACTGTAGGTGCAACTATCATGGGAAGGCATATGAAATATTGGGTATGCCCCCGCTTTCTTATTGCTCAGAGTGCAATATTTGTTAGAAGGCGATTTTGTGCCTGCAAAGAAGTCCTCTTCCTTTCCTGAGAGTTCCCCAGCTTATAAAGTTCTCAGTGAATTTATCCCCGTTTATATCTGTGTAAACTGGCTGCAGGGTATTATTGACAACTCATTGGAAATTGTAGGATGGTAGAATAGAGGCATTCTGATGCTGAATTCTCAGTGAATTTAACCCTGTTTATATCTGAGTTAACATGTGTGTAAACTGGCTGCAGGGTATTTTCTCACTGACAACTGATTGGAAATTGTAAGATGGTAGAATAGAGGCATTCTGATGCTGACACAACAGGGAAGAAGAAGGGAGGCAAAATGGCCAAACTGTCCATAGGTTTCAGTTGCTGTTTTCCTTCTCCCTTTGAAAAACAATGTTGGGAAATAATCAATGAAATGAGCCCCCTTCAAGTGTCCAAAGAAGCTGAAGGTGGGATGCTCCAGATGTAAGAGTAATCTGTAGGTTTCCAGCCACTTTATGAAAATGAATCCCCTGAGCACCCCATAAACAAAGGGTTTCAAAGAAGTTTGAAATAAACTTTAAAAACTCCAACCAGGTCTCTTCCTAGTCTGGTTGTAAAACAGACCAGAAATGTCAAGATTTGCAGATCCATCATGTCCAGATTTAGTTAGGTTGCAATTCACCCACCTCGTGCTACATGTATATTAAAAAAAAAATAAACACATAAAAAATAATGTACTGTATTAGAAATTGTGCTACATATTAGCTGCTTCACAATGACAAGGAAAGTGTGGTGTGGCAACCAACCATAAGGAAACAGGAAAATGGGAAGAAGAGATGAGTCATGGCTAGTCGTCCGCTACTACATGAAGGTACCAGATCTCCTGACGTGAGAACAGCCCAGATGAATTTTACTTTTAGCTTACAGCAGGCAAGCAGTGATTTGGGAACACTAGGAGCCCTCTGTTTGGAAACACCCAGTAATCATATCTGATCTAAATGCATTTATTTTGCCTCTTCACAGTAAATATTCTCCTAGTCATTTTCATTTTTATTTATTTTTAACCTAACTATCTGTGTCTCAATCATCATGCAGAATTTTTAGGCCTGGGCAGTTTTCAAGAGGTTAAAATAAAATAAAATTATATCTATTTGTCTCTTCCCATAAGAAAAATGCCTGGTAATACTTACACAAAATGGAAGGAAATGAGCAAACGTAGTCGCACAGTGTGCTGTACTGGAAGAGTTAAAGTCTTCTGTACAAAACTCAGGCACTGGGGTGAGATGTGGACCATTTCCTTTCTCCCAGATGTACAGTGCAATCTTTCCAAATATAATGTAAAATATGCATTAAATAGCAATTAGTACTAAGTATGATCATACATGAAAATACACAAATACAATTCAAACAGCTTGTGTATGAGTACAGTAGACTGGAAAAGAGACAGAGATATTACACCAAGAGCTAAGATGTACAAAAGAAATGCCAAATTCTGAACCAGAGATTATATTGATGATTCCAGGTGTGGAGCCACAAATAATAGCGATTGTATGCTGTCAAGTCAATTTCGACTTATGAGAAACCTTTCCAGGATTTCTGAAGAATAGATTATTCAGAAATTGTTTATTATTCCTTTCTTCTGGGGGTGCCCTAAGACTGTGCAGCTTGCTCGAGGCCACACAGGCTGGCTCTTCTCTCAGGACTCACAATGGAGGATCAAGCAGCCTCTGGTTCCACAGCCAAATACCTACTTTACTGAGCTATCCCAGCAACTTATACACTACTGAAAATGACTAGCTCTCTTCCTTATAGACCAGATACATTTTCTATAACGATAGAAAATTTTTCATTAGCCTTCTCCAAAATTCTAAAAAGCAAAATATCCTAATTCTCTCATGTTTTTCTAGGAAAACTTGCAAAGGGATCTTGCAAAAGCCCCAGCAAAACAAGAATAAATGTTTGCTAGAGAAGTGTAAGAGCCATAGCGCAACAAAGGCAGAACACATGCTTGAAAAACAGAAGTTCTTGAGGTTTGCCCCTGGATAGTACAGCTGGAAGTGACACCAGTGTGCAACACTGGAAAGTCACTGCTTATCAGTGTAGTCTATATACTATAGAAACAATACTGCTCCAGTTGGTACAGGGCTGCTTCCTGTACTCCAAACAGGGGGCAGAGAATAATTCAGGAAGGGTTATTAGAGGGGGAAAATGCAGCTGGAAGAATGGAATTTGTAATTTCTTCCTTGGTATATAATTGCACCTCTGAGCATGCTCAAGATTGTCATATAGAGTAAAGCTCTGCAGAGTTATCAGTTACTTTATCCTCTTACCAAAGGTAAGGCTTTTTGCTTGGGAGAAAGAACTCAGAGGGAGAAGGGATGACTAGTGTTGGGACAGAAGAAAATTCCATGTTGAACTGGACCCTTCTCCTGCAAGGTCTGGGCCTAGTTTAAAAAGGCAGTAGGGCTTTTCAAGCTGGAAGACTTTATATTTTTCAGATTCTCCTGGTTATTAATTTATCCCCATCAATTATCTTTCCCACATATACCTGGCTCTAACTAATGTATATGATGACTCAGGAGACTGCACATATGTTCAGTGACAACTGTTTATTCCAACAGAAGAAGAAAATGCAAACTGAAATGATGTTTAGCTAAAGCTTGAAAGAACAGATGGCTGGGAAGGTTAATAAATGTTCACACAGCTGCGTAGACACACACTGTCATTCCTCCCTGTAGCTACTCAATGTTTGAATAGATTTGTTCCTGGATAGATAGAAAATTAATTCAGTGGCAAAAAATTGTTCTTGAAGAGGACCTATTTTAAATTCTTTATTTTGACAATTAGAACAGCATGCTTTCATTATATGGGAATATAACATAACAAAATCTTACAAAGTAAGTAGGGGGTGCAATCATGGTTTTTGCCAGTGGAACACTTCAAAAACTGAAGTGTTTACGTCATGATTTTTTTAATTGCCTGATGATGCTGTCCCACATATGTCCTAGATCATTTTCACACTTCTTACAGGAAAAAGAAATTTGATTTCTCCAATGAAGCATCTTATAAAGTTTGCATGCTTGTTAAGGATTATAAGCCAAAAGGAGAAAGTTGTTTCAGGAGCTTTCCTGAAAACCAAGTAGCCAGAGAAGAAAAGAAAAACCCTGGGAGAATTAGCTGTTAAGAAATCCACAATAGGATTTCAGTATGTGCCATGAAAAGGGGAGAAAAAGAATTAATACACCTGAAAGATAGGTTGTAACAGCGCACAGTAAAAAAATTAATCATATTCCACATGGAAACACACAGTAGCACTGAATTTAGGTGAGAGAGACAGAAAAGAAATAATGACCTGAGGCATCCAATGCTTTTTAGTGCATAGAACAAATCACAATTCCCTTCATTTCAGCAGTACTTAGCATTACTATAAATTGAAAAAACGGGGGGAGGACATGGCACCCTTTAAATGTATATCTAATTTCTGGGGAAAAAAAAACAGTTTGTAATGTACAAGCATGCATTTCCAATTGCCACTAGAAACCCCGTCATCCTCAATATGCATATTATTAAAAAGGAAGAAGAGCTACATATCTGTGGATTGCCAATTTCTCCACACATTTTCTTGGCTATCCATGAAACACTGCCCCACCCAACCCTGCCAACTGGAGGGTGTAGAAAATGGAAGCTCTGTTTTCCAAACTCCATCACATCTGAACTACGTATATGCGGTTGTGGGGCAGAATTCTTGTTTTACATTTTTGAGTGAGATAAATTAAAGTGTCTCATATTTAGAACTTCAAAAATATCACATGTTGGATTAAGCACGTACCAAGATACACACTGTGGCTGCTGTGAAGCAACTTTAACAAATGTAAGCCTATTCTGTCCTTCCTGTTTGATGCACAGCTGGAGTTGAATCAGTACAGTGAATGAAGGTTAAGTTCTGGAGGGTTTTAGTATGAAACCTTGAGCATTAACCTGTTACCTTTCCTATGAGGTTTGTCAATACTGACATATATATATAGATTGGAGCTTCTGAAAGGATTTGAATTAGCTTTTCAGTCCACCAGTGGCACAGAAGTTAATTAAGTTCATCTGCTTCAATGCATTATATTCACTGCACCTTTGAAAAGTTTATGAATAAGGTATTACACCTAAATGGGTTCCTGACTGGCATCCTGCAGAGGAGAGTACATATGGATTATACAGTATTTATGACCCCTCTGCCTGCTACCAGCAATTATTCTTCAGATGACTACAGCAGATCATTCCTGCAATACTGCATCATGAGCCTGTGGGAAAACTTACATATTCAGAATTTATAGATTCTCTTTCCACTCTTAGCAGACTGGATTTTAGAGCAAGTAAACAGTGTAAACTCTTGGGTTTCTTGAATGTACTACAGTTATATTTCTGGCAACTTCATTTTAAATTTTGGTGTGACCTGGAATGCTGCAGGAGTTTATAATGCTTTTGTACATAGTCAAGCATGTGGTACAAAGAACCAAGCAATTAGTCTAGTTCCAAGCAACCAAGATTGCTTTCGGGTTTATTTTTTCTCAGCCACACATGTGCTACATGCTCAATTCACACTGAAACTTAAGTGGGATTTTTAAAAAAGTGATGTGGGGTATGAGGGCTTAAAAGAGAAGGGCAGAGTAAAAAGTATCAGTACTAATTCTCCTTAGGGGAACCTAGATAGTTTTTGGAGCCTATAGGAATCCTTTACCTATGTATTCTAAAACATATTGGTAACCAGATCCTTAACAAATGGGACATGAAAAAACACATTAATAGTGTAGAGTTCCACGATTCCTGTTGGCCAGCCATACCCTTTTCCAGAATACACCCCCCCCTGCCATTCCTGAGCACTCAATTAATCATTCTATATCCAATGAGCACACTCTGCCTGCAAAGATTGTTCTGGCACTGTCCTCATTCATCAAGGGTTTTCCCTTCTAAATTATTGTTGTTTTGAAGAACATGGGTTTCCCCTGTCTGTTGATAATCCTCTCTCATACATGGATGGTGCTGTTTGCTGACATAAGGATCAAATAGTTAAAGAATGAATTTGCTATTAATATGCTTACCTTCACCACTTATTATCAATGAAAAGTAAAGGAAGGAAATATCTAATGGTCAGTTCAGCTTCCCTGCTCCTGTATCACAGAGCCAAGAGTAGCTAGGGCAAAACAAGTCTTCCAGAATAACACAATAGACTTACCTCATATTTTAAATCTATTGTGAAGTCTGACTTCAGAGGTTCATTCTTCAGTCTCTTTGCAAGCCTGTGCAATACGGATAATAAAAATACAATCAATTATATGCTATGTATTTTATATGTGGAAATAAAATTGAGTTTTCTTATTTCAAGCTGTCATATCACCACCTGCTAGCATTATGTTTCTGCAACTCTATCCTTGAACTACATTTATACATTCACTGTTGAGATGACTGGCCCCAAGCATCCTCTTTGGCACTCATTTTCATGGTTTACTATGGACCTGTGAGCTATGAAACAGACAACAGGAATATAGACAGTGCAATTTCACAATGAATGTGGCCCTATGCAATTGAGATTATATTCTCATGCCTACTCTGAGGCAGTATGGGAGGCAAAGTAGTCATACCTCCAGCTTCTTTACATCTTCAAGCAGCCATCTTTGAGCAGTGAATTAAGCTGATACAATCTGGCTCAGAACCATACAATGACAAGTTAACCGCCCAGAGAATGAAAACAATAATGAGATGGCATAGAAGTGAAATGAATGAATGAATGAATAAGGCTGCAACCAACATTCTCTCCAATTTTTCATCTTCCTGAGTGGGGCTCTGCACTCCATGCCCGTACCTCTGGCACCAAAGGGGCAGAAACACTGGCTGTGGGTGTGCGCACCTGGTGCAGCACTGTGCAGCTGCACAGCTTAGAGGGCACATTAGTTCCAATCCATTTTGACAATCAAGGCACTCTTACACACTTTGAACATGATCGTTGGAGTTTGGATAATAACAGCTCCAAAGGATGTGTCCAGAGTTCTGCACTGCATGAGATCAGTTTTATGTCACAGTCTGTGGACAAAGATACTTTGAAGGGTGCAGCCAACTACCTATATTCTTGATTCTTGCTCAGCTTCGCTATAAACAAGTAGCAGGAGAGGGTATGTAATAGCTGCTTCGAGGAGCAAGTTAAGGTTTGTTTATGGAAGGGGACCAGGCACCTGTTTCCTTAATAGGGAGAATTAGGACATTGAGGTTCATGCTCTGGCACCCTCCCAATTAAATTACTATAACACATTATGCATGTAACTGCACTTGAAGAAGCTTCAGGTAGTACAGAATGAAAAAGCCAGAATCATCAGACTGAATGGCATTACATTAATGTTAAAGGATTTAAACACTCTGTTTAAGAGTACTTTAATAATAAAAATACATGTTCCAGCATTTCTTTTTACTTGAATGGCTAGATAGCTCAGCAAATTAGATACTGTATATGGCTGCAGAGTTAGAGGCTGGGAATTTAATTCCCCACTGCGCCTCCTTGGAACTGAACCAGCCTGTGTAACCTTGGGCAGGCTGCACGATCCCAGAACAACCGCAGAGGAGGGCAACAGTGAATCACTTCTGAGTACAGTACTCTATACCTAGAAAACCCTGGAAGGGTTCACTATAAGCCATAATCAGCTTGAAGAGCATCATTAATATTACTGTTTACTTGTTCAAGAACAGTGGGCAGCTATGTTGGTTAACTAGAAAGAATGGAAATATAATATAATACCAATTAAAGACAATAAACACATGTTTAGTTTCAATAAAGTTCTTAATCAGATTGGATATTAAGCCTCCATGTCTGTTGCTTCCTTTAAATACTGTTCAGAAAATGCTATTCTATTGGGTTTTTTTCCATTTAGCTCCTAAATTTAATTTCCTCCCCAGTATCTTATCTGGCAAAGAGGCCTGATAAAACTAAAACCTTTTCTTTTTTGAGACTATACAATTATTCCAATAAACATAATCCATTTTTGTTGAGATTTTTAGTTATAGTACTATTTTTCAACAAAAGCTGGTATTTCTGATACACTTCAGAGCTTCTGCTTCTTTTCCTGTACAATAATACCACCAATTCAGATGTATTTTTTTCCTAACATGTACACTTACTAAATTTTAATTGCTATTTGTTTTGTTATAAATAGTTAATTAACTAACTCAGCTACTCAGTGCTGGATGGAATCCCACTTGTGATGAAAAAGTCTCATTTTCTATATAGACACACAGAAGATGTGAAGAAACAAATACTTTATGTTTAGCATTCTTTACTTCTGCAAAATATTTTACAAATATTTAGTAGTCAAATTTTCAAAAGATTATAAATCTGAATTCTTACTTTTTTACAAGGGGAATGCTAACAGCCCAGCCGGCAGCAAAATCTGGATATTTAAAAACTGTAGGGTTTTCAGCAAAAGCATAATGGTGAATTATTGTAGATTCATCATCATGTAAGGGTTTGCCTAAAAAAAGTTCCTGCAGGAGAAAAGAGATACTGTTGACTCATCTTGCTCATAGGGATATAAAGAATACTTGATAATTCTTTTTCGTTATTCTAGGCCAGTGGTGGTGAACCTTTTTGGGCTTCCGTGCCCAAACTGGGGAAGAAGAAAAAACAGCGGGTGTGGCGGAACCGGAAGTTCCAGTTCTCTCTGGGCACTGCTTGAAGACTTGCGCCTTGCAAAGACTACGAGGCGGTAAGTGGGGGAAAGAGGGCAGGAGAGGGGCAGTGGGAGCAGCTTTCCCTTCCCCAAAGAACTTCTGTTCAGGTCGTCCAGGGTGAGTCCATGCTTTTGTTCTCACGGGGGTCTCTGTTTTACTACTGGAAGCGCGGAGTGTGAGTCGACAGAGCTGCCAAGATGAGCATGAATGGCGGCAGATCCCTCCCGAGGCTCAACACCTTGGGCATGGGAGGGCGGATGATCAGAACCGAATCCAGCACAGATATGCGCTATGAAATGAACTTGCACATGATTGGGGGGATGTGGCGGTGGCAGAAGGGGGAATCCCGGAACGGAGGTGCCTCAAGACCCCACTCTGGATCTGCTGCCAGCACCAGCAGTTTGGATCTGAATGCCGAAGCACCAGCACGGCGGCTCTGCAGCTGCCTTCTCAGGTTTGGCTGCGCGAGGGAGGGAGTAGCGATCTGGCTCGCATGCTGGCAGAAAGGGCTCCACGTGCCAGCAGTGGCATGCATGCCATAGGTTCACCATCACTGTTCTAGGCTGTTCAACTTGACAAGACACTTCAACAAGGAATTTTCAAATATCTCTGAGATTTTTCACCTCCAGGTGAAGAAAATGTGAACTAACTCTATAACTTCTTTATATTTTCTGTGCCTTGTCTTTGACAAGTCTCTCTCTCTCTCTCTCTCTCTCTCTCACACACACAGACACACACACACACACACACACACACACTTCAAGACTCACAAGGACCCCAGAAGACAACACATTCATGCTCTTTGTTTACAGAACGCCACACATTATTGTATTTATCAGTTCTACACTGCTTTCTCTAAAGGTAAACATACATATAAATAAACAGTCCTTTGACAGGAAAACTACCTGAGATGTAAATAAGAGGTGTCAATACACCATTGAATGAGGTTCTCTCCATCATATATATGCAGGTGGAATAATAATTAACTTTAGACATGCTTGCACAAACAATGCATGGTTGTCAATAGCTTGGGAATGCCACGTCCCTTGCCATACCACTCAAAATAGTGGCAAAATGTTTCATACATCAACTTGAGGAATAGCCACTAAGATTCATCAAGCAACTCTTAAAATCTTGAAACCATATTGCACCAGAATATAATGCAGTTTCCTTGACATCTTGGTATATATAACCATGGACTAATTTCAACTTCTGTTAAGTACCTTAAAGCCAGAAGTGGAACTTGCCTTACTCATTAAAGCATCCTTTGTGTTTACAGCACTGTATAAATGCAAAGTTATCAAAATCTCATTTTCTTCTCCACGTTTTAGTACTTCAAAATTTACTTCAAAACTAAGTACCCATCTCAAAAAATCACCTTGGACTTGTCATATCTTCTAAGTGTTTTCAGTAGTTTTGCAATATGTATTCTTGTATCTTCTTCACAGAAAAAAATCCACGAAGAATTTCTGCTGTATGCAACAGAAAAACTGACAGAAGAAAGAGTTGGGTTTATTTATTTATTTATTTATTTATTTTATTTCTATCCCGCCTATCTGGTCGTACTAGACCACTCTAGGCGGCTCGTTTCTGCTGTATGCAACAGAAAAACTGGCAGAAGAAAGAGTTGGGTTTATTAGAAGATGGGATACTAAACAGGAGGGAATTACAAAAATTTAAAGAATAATACGAACTGATTTTCATCAAAAGACTAATTCATGAATCTCTGCAACCCTGTTTATTTTTCTATGACGTAGCCATGTTAGTCCATTG